AAACCCCCCCCCCCCCCCCCCCGGCTTTTTAAAAACAAAAACCTTTTTGATGTCTGCTGAGCACTGAGCTGATGTTTTAAGTGAAATGTTCACAATGACTCCTAGATCTCTTTACAGTATGGCAGCAGCTAATGTATGGCCCTTCATAGTTGGTATCGTTTGAGTTGCTTTTGCCTGGATACATCACTTGACACTTATCTACATTGAATTGTATCTACCATTTAGTTGCCCGTTTTTCAATCATGTCAGATCTTTCTGTAGTTCCTCAGAGTCTACTTACAGTCCACCTTGGTCTTTATCATGCTGAATAATTTTGTGTCATTAGTAAAATTTGGCTACCTCACTACTCACCCCCTTTTCCAAATCATTTATAAATATGTTAAACAGCGCTGGTCCCAACACAGATCCATGAGCAACACCGCTGAGGGATCCCTGTCCATCCTGAAAACTGACCATTTATACTCACTCTGTTTGCCACCTTTGAGCTAATTTCTAATCCACAAATGGATGTTCCCTGTAATCCCATGACTACCTAATTTAGTTAAGAGCCTCTGATGGGGGATTTTATCAAAGGCTTTTGGAAGTCTAAATATACTAAGTCAACTGGACACTCCTATCTATCTGCTTATTGGCACTCTCAGAAGAACACCAGTAGGTTGGTGAGGCATGACTTCCCTTTGACAAAGCCATGTTTGTTCCTCACCAGCAAGTCACATTCATCCATATGCTCTACCAAATTTTCCAGGAACAGAAATTAGGCTCACTGGCCTATCATTCCCTGCAACTCCTCTAGAACCTTTTTTAAATATTGGAATCCCACAGGCAACCCTCCAGGGCTAGGGGCAGACATCCAAAAAGCTGGAGCATTAACTCAATGAATCTTTGCAGGAATAACCCTGTTCCCTGACCATTGTCTAAGGGTGCCATACCAGCCAGTGTCTGGCCACACACCTGTTGCTGCGGCAGTGAGGGGGGAGTGCCCGGCAGACCCAGGCTTGGGTCCAGCAGACAGGAAGAGGGGAATTCAACCTTCTCCCTAGCCGGTTCATTCCAGGACTTTGCCCAGGGCTGGCTATGCCCTTGACACTGGAGCAGCCAGCAGAGAAATGCAAGTCATGCTGGTGGGGCAGGGGAGGGAGGGGGCGAATGAACCTCTTCCCTGCTCCCTTTTAGGACCAAGTCTGGCCAGGCCCCCACCCCTCCCTGCTCCAACTAGAGAGTAGAGGGGCAGGGATCAGCCCTGCTCTGCTGAAGCAAAGAAGCCAGCCCAGAGAGCATGCCTAGAATGCTGGGGGACTCTGGTTTAACTTAAACCAGGAAGGGGTCTGAGACAAACTGCATAAACTAGTTTAGGCTCAATCACAGTTAAATCTGATACTATATTCAACCAGGTTTCTCTTGAACTGGCTTCAGCCATTTTGAAACTGGTTTATGTGCACTGAACTTATGTTCTGTTACAGGTTTAAACCAGTTTCTGATCCCTTTAACTGGTTTATGGGTAATGTCTGTCCCTAGCCCAGTCTTCTGGTACTACAGCTGTTTTCAGTGATAGGTTACACACTACAGTTAAGAGCTCAGTAATTTCCAATTTGCATTCCTTCAGGACCATAGGGTGAATGCCATCAGGTCCTGGTGACTTGCTATTTTTTAATTTATCAATTTCCTCTAGAATTTCATCTACTGAAACCTCAGTTTGGGTCATCTGCACAGACTTCTCCCGGGGGAGGAGTGTATCTGCTGATGGAATTTTCCTTACATCTTTCACAGAAGCCAGATGCAAAGAATGCATTTAGGTCTCGACAATGGCTCTGTCATCCTTTAGTGCTTATTTAACAACCTCTGGGACAGATTATTAAAAGCATTTAGGAGCCTTACAACAGAGAGACATTGTGGTATTTTCAAAAGGCATCTCAAAGTGCTAAAATAACTTTAAAATATCTGGCATTGGACTGGAATTAGAAAGAAAATCCCGAGCACCACTGAATGGCAGTAGGGCATCTCCATGCCCTATAAAGTAAAGTACTCTTTCTCCTTTCTCAAGGCAGAGGGATCTGTATGCTACAAGCAGATACATTCAAACCAGGCCTATGGGATAGCAAGCCCTTTCCTTACACTCTGGGGGAGGTGAAGGACTTGCATTTCATTTCTCTCTGGAAGGCAGACTGAAGCCTCAGGAAAAAAAATTAAGCATGCTAAAAGATATTAAATATGGATGTTTTTATTTGTGTTTGGACAAAATTAATTTGGCTATCAGAGAAAATACTGAAATATCTGGACCTTGGGAATGAGCCAGAATAAGAAAAGGGGAAACTGAAGTCGCTGTATAATTTCATTGGAAAACCTAAGTTTAAACCATTATGCACACACAGATGCATCTTCAGTGATCCTGAACACAAGCCACCAATACTTAAAGATCAATGAGAACCTATCATTTTTCTAAACAGTGCATTCCCATTCTGTTACCATATGTTTATATAATGTAATCCTCCCCTGACAAGAATATCGTCTCAAGCACGATAAACCAGCCATGCCAGAAGGGAGATGCCATAGGTTATACTTACGCAGTCCCACAGTATCATGTTTGCCATTGTCATTTCTGTTTGGTTGCACTAATGGAGCAAATGAAACAGCAAGAATGTTTTTACTTTCCCAAGTGTTCTGTCCAGTTCTCAGAATTTGTGTTAGCTGCAAGAGAACAAGAGAAACAGAAAATAAAATTCAGCAGTTAAAAGGTGTCCTGTCTTGGTTACATTTGCAGTTCTTCACTTTGAGGAAGTTTAATTTAGCATTAGCATTCAAAATCACTTCAAAGTAATTTAGAAAGCCTGTTCTCTTCCCAGATTGAATTCTGTATGCGCTACAAAATTTTATTCAGACTTTTCCCATTTTATTTCAAAGGCTTTTAAGTTAGCTCTTAAAAGATAAATAAGGACTTGTACATGCACTTAAAACTTTATTAACAATGCTCTTTTGATAATATTCCCCCCTAATTCCAAACTAATATTTAGTCTGACTGTAACCCGCATTGCAAAAAAAGCACATTAAAGTTTTATAAAGTTAGCAGTTTTATCTGTTTTTTTGTATTATCTTGTATTGAAAATCCTGGATTGCCCAGTGTCTAAATACCACAGTAGCCAGCACACTTAGAATAGGAGGGATATTCAGTTAAAAGGTACTACATCAATGTATAGTACTTACTCTTCTCCCAGACTACTGGCAAATATGCCCAACACTATTGTTATTTGAAGTAATAAGCAGGGCTCTCTGACAGGTCAAGGGAAAGGCTAGTAAGTCCAGGCTTCTGCTAATTTTCATTTTCTCCTGCACTTTGTTACAATGAGCAGAGCACTTACATTGTTTGTTAATCCTAGTCTATTTACTCTTGATATGGTTCATAATATTCCATTAAAATGTATATGAAAATAAACATCCAGTGAATACAACTGACATATGACTAGCATTTGTTAAGCACCCACTTGTACTAATGGTAAAAGTTATGTCTCCAATAAGAAACTATATAGCAAAAATTCAACAACTTTTCGTCATTGACAAAGTAACCTGCATATCTGACCAGCAGCGTTTTAACAATCGGGCTTTGGAGGGGCATAGATGTTGGCAAATTGTTAAATCTGTGTGTTCCTCAGTTCCCCCATCAGTAAACACTCACCTTTGTAAAGCCTTTTGCAATCTATGGATGAAAGTAACAGAAGTGCTAAGTAGTATTAATAATACACTTGTCTAAAAATGCATTACCTGTTATTGTTACAAGTGGCATCTAAAACAAGTGAAAGTATGGTTTTACTTTTTCCCCTGTAGTCACTTGTCCCTGTTAATGCTGTGTCTTTTCACACAATCAATGCAGATTATTATTTTTTAAAGGGTGTTGTTAAGAAAAACAAATCAACAAAACCACAGGACACAAGAAGTCTGTAATTTTTTAGTAAAAAGTAAAATAGAAAAGTCATAGAAGTTAATGCAAAAACAAAAAAGCCACAAGGAAACTCTACAGCAGGGTGTTTGGGTCAAGTCTTAGCATCACTGAAGTTCATAATAAAAATCTCTATGGTTTTGCCATGGACTTCAATGGGAACAGTATCTCAGTATTTTAATCACTTAAATTTAAACTAGATCACATCCCTCCTTCAACTAACACTGATGTTAGCTGTGTCTCCTGCAGCTAACACTAGCTGCACATAAGAAGTGAAATACTAAAATGTGGAATCATTGAAAAAAAGAAAGGAATAAATATAAAAAAGAACGTGTAAAAGATCCGAATAATCAGCATATTGCTGTACTTGAGAAGATGAGGATGCTTTTACATTACTTGATTTAAGTTGTTTGATTTCATATCAAAACATAGAAAGGGGAAATTGTCACTGAATCACCTGATCTTCTATAGGCATAACCAGAATGCCTCCAATTTTCAGTAAAATTTTCATGTAGTTTTCATGGTCTTTCTGGACTCCAGCTCCACAATAAATCCGGTCATATTGATGACTGTCTGACGCTATTTCCAGACAATTACCAACCACAAAGGCAGGTTCACAGAACTCAAACCTATGAGAAAAGGAAAAAAAAAAAGAGGGCAAACAGTTATTTAGTAAAAGGCTCCTTTTATGAAAAGCAAGTTTCAAACTTTTCCTCATTTGTAATTAGAGTTATTAACGATTTGCATGAATACAAAAGACCTACTAAAGAAATGCAGGCAAAAATGAAACAAACATTGGGGTATTATCCAAGGCTTTTTCTGTGGTGGACACCAAACTACTTTAATAGGAACTCAGGAATTCCAGTGCCCATTCATTTGTAGTTTCACTGTGTTTCCACAGTGCAAAACAAGGGCCAGACTTCCCAAGCTACATTTGAATGGCACCCCTAAGGTGCTCAGTGTCTCCTCTGTGCACTATTTGGAGTAGAGCAATTAGAGAAAGAGCACACTTGCATATCTTCCAAAACAAGTCCCTGCAGGCCTCAGCTCTGACACGGCTCCCCAGAGAGAGATATTCAAAATGTGGTCCAACACGTGTTACTTTTAGCTTCCTCTGCCACTGCAAGTCAAGTGTACAGGACAAGTTTATACAACTGCTATATCATTCTTTATAATCAGCCCAAAGGAAGGCAGGACTCTGGGTCACTGTCTCAGTAGCCTGACAGAGGGGTTGGGGGCAGGGCACCAAGCCTACCTGTATAGCCTCCTTTCCTCGGGAGTCTTTGCCATGGCAGGGGCAACCCTACACAGCTCAGATGTAGGCTATGCCCAACAGTGTATGGGGGGAATGGGGAGGAGGAGGGAATGTACTCACTTTCAGCCTCGCTGCCAGCTGCCTCATTTTTATATGGAGGACCTATTCCTACACTTGCAGAGGAGTAAAATGATGTCCCCTCCAAGAGGCGGTCATGGGATGCACAGCCCTGCACCTGGGTTGAACAAAACAAGCGGGGCACTAGGAGGGAAGCCTCCTTTGCTGCCTGTCCTCAGCGGCAGCAGCCTAAGCCCATGCTGCTCCTGCCTGTGTGGAGAGTGGGAGCAGATAAAGCTCCACTCCCTCTCCAGTGCTGCCCCACCCCCATTCTCCAGTGGTTGGCCTGATTTCCCCCCACCTTGGCATACACTCCTCTGCTGAGGGCACTGAAAGAGCTTGCTATATACCTCTGCTGTGTCTTACTTAAAATTCCAGTAAAAAAACCCAACCAACCAACCAACCAAAAATGAGCCTATGCGTTAAGAACTTTTTGGGAGGTTTTAATATGAATGCTTATATTTTTGTACTCTCAAAAACAGAGGTATAAACTAACAACATTCAAGCTTTGTAACACTGCTGCTGCATGTCGCTTCCTGCTACATGATGCTGTGTTTTGATTTGGATAAGCTTCCAACCACTGGCTTCTTAAGAACAAACAAACAAACAAGATGGGATTGTAACATTTTCTAAGGCTGCCTGTGGAACAGGAGTGTTAAACCCATCTGGCCACATGGGCCAGACGAGTGGCATCAAATCAGTCTGTGGGCCAGATTGGGCCCACAGACCCCAGCACCTGCATGTTCTCCATGTCTCAGACCAGCTTGTAGGGGATGGGAGGAGAGGAGGAGGAAGAAAGTTGCATGTGGTGCAGGTCCTGGACTCATTGGGACAGGCAGTGTGTGCAGTACAAGTCCTGATATGTGGGCCAGACGGTGCCTGTTCCCACCAACTGAAGACCTGTGCTATGCAGAGCTGAATGCAGAACAGTGCTGGACCAGGCAGAAGGCACCACATGTGGTACAGATACTGGACTACATGGGGCAGGCACTGTCTGTGGTGCAGGTCCCACATGTTGCACAAATCCTAGAGCGGTACTGTGTGCAGCACATGTCCTTGGCTCTGAACACAGGTCTGGCAGCATCTGGGTCAACTTATAACCAAAGACAGGATAATGAGAGAGTAGAGAATCCCTGTTGTACAGAATAGGAAAAGTAATGTTTTCTTCTCGTAAGAACTGTATAAAGTAACTCTAAATAACTGTGTGCATAGAAGGTCCAATCACAATCAAGTTATTTGAAAAAACTCTGTAAACCCAGTAGATCTCAAACTCCATCCATAATTCATTTTTTTCCAATAGCTATGCACAAACATATGCAACCATGTTTTGTTTTGAATTTGACAACTAGAGGTCACAGGAGAGGGGAATTTTATTTTATTTTTGACTAGCAGCAGTTCCCAATGCAACAGTGAAAGTGTGAGAGAATGCAGGGTGCAAGCATTTCATCAAGCATAAGGAGGCTTGACAGCTTTCTCCATTTACAGAAATAGCAAATACTATGACAGGAAGACTTAAGTTTACAGAATGAGACTACTTCACTAACAGTGCTGTAAACATGCTCAATTCATACATTTTGCTAGTAAAGATTATGTGCAATCTTGAAACAGTGCTCCCTTCTCTAAATAGCTGCATGCACATCCTGCAGTAGCAGGCAAAGAAACCTTTGCTTGCTACTACAACCACCTCTTGGAGGTACTGGATGTACTTCATTTAGATAAGTATTTGGACATGCTTAATCAAGAGTCCACCTAAGAGAAAAGGCAGTCTGGAAAAGGCTTTGATGCCTTGTTGCTTAAGTCCATACAATAGCACACTATGACTTATTTTGGGGGGAAACCAGGGGAGCAAACAGAGGTTAACGCATGCATATCTCACTGGGGAAAAAAACTATTAAACCCAGAACATTGATAAATGTACTGACAAAAATGCTCCATTTCATGGCATCACAAAAAAGCATCAGATCCCATGGCCACAATACTGGAATCCACAGAGTCTTGATAAAAAAAGAATAAGATATTTCACACATTTTGGGTACGGTTTCACACTGTGTAAAGGTTCATTCAAGCATTACTGCACTGACTTTAAATCTCAAAAAATGAGATGAGTAGCTCTGCAATAGAAATCAGAAACCCATTAAAATGTAATTAGTTAAAGGAAAAAATTGTCATGATGTCTCTCCTTAAAGCCTTGTTTCCAAAGAACCCAGGGGAGGGAAAGGGCCCTTCTTGTCCACAAGCTCCATAGCAGGGGTACTTGGCTTATACAGCTAACCTAATAGTTTCTAGGGCTCCTAAATCAGTCTTTCTGCCCATCCAAAATGGTCCCGGGGGATCTGGAAAGTACATTAACAGATCTTCCTAGAATTACCTTTATATTAAAAGCTATGGTTTGTCATTTTGTGCATTTGATAATCGCTATCAAAAAGATTTTGGAAACATATTTAAAGCATCTCCCACGCTTACTGAAGCCAATCCTTATGACCAACCTTTTGACCACCAAGTCAAAATAAGTCCCTGGACAGACATGATTTTTCCTGAAGAAAGTGGAATTATAAACAAAAAACCCCCCAGAGAATCCTTGAGCAGAGGGAGCAAATGTACTCACTTTCAGCTTCACTGCCAGCTGCCTAATTTTTATACAGAGGATCTATTCCTACACTTCCATTTAAAGAGCATTAACAGAACTCCATTAGTAACATAAACACTTATCAATTCAAAGCCTATAATTATTAATTTTACAAGAGATATTTATTTTCAGTAAAGTTTATACAGATATTCTCCTCTCCTAAAATCTAACTGGATTGCCTAGAGAAGTTGATACAAAATTCTGATGCAGCGCAAGATGAATCACTGAAGTGACAAATTTGGTGCTGTCAGTTGAAACACTTCCTTGCAGAAAGAGATCACCTTTTCTAATATGCTATAAACACCAATATTTTCCTTACATGCTACATATACACAACATTTCAAACAGACATTTAAGGCTTTGCTGGATGTTTCTTTAAGTAATCCAATATGAAACAATACTACTTCTAATATTCAGTCACGGATCCCATTAGACATACTGAAATTGAGGGACACCACCCAGTTTGAAGGCTACTGTAACACTGATAGTGCTGTACATGTAATGAGAATTACTGCTTACATTAAGCTCAGGTAAGTGCATACTTCATTTAATAGATTTTCTTGAGACTGCAGTTAAACAGTTAACGGTATGTTTCTCCACACACCCCCCCCCCGCAAGTGTGGGAGAAAACTAATACCTGATGCGACTTTTTATTACAGATCCTAAAAATTGAGTGTTCCATCATGCCATGTAGTATGTGCATGGGAGGATGTGTGATTCTGGAGATCAGCAATAAAAATCTGCCAGATCCCAACTGCACATCTGCTGGGACATGCAGCTGGCTGCATTTGCAATCATGGAGCTACCCTACCCCCAGCTGCCCACACCTGATGCAGGTGCAGCCAGTTGCATGTGTGCTGGTAAAAATATGTGGTGCAGGTAGCTGCGGATTCAGGAGCTCACCAATCCACAAGCTGCCACCACCAAGCACCTTGAAACTGCATGTCTGGTGAACAAAATGTCCTCTGGTGACACTTAAGTGCTGCAGGCAGCTCTATAAAATGAACATTCACCATGGAGCTCCCCCATCCCCAGCTGCCTGCTATCACTGGAGCATATGCTGCCAACTGCATATACACTGGCCCATGCACAGCTAGGGATCACAGATGTCCCTATGCATGGAAAGCTGATGATCTCCCCCCATGGAGGGACTTTTAAAGTCCCACCATGCAGCTTGATACTGGTGTCAAGGCATGACTGTAAAGGCCTCTGTCTGGAGCGAACAGCCTGGATGTCCCTGTACCAACAAGCTTAAAAATGCACCAGGAGGCCAGCACTGGACATGCCACAGATTCAAATTAAACCAAGCCACAAGACATTCCATATTAAAATGTAGAATATCTTGGTTGTTGGTTTGCCACACTTGAACATCTAGCATATTACAAAAAACAATTGCAGACGACAATTTGCAACAAGTGTAATATCTGGACGGCATCAAAGTCACAAGTTTCCATAACACTTATATCAATGCAAGGCAGGCCATTTTAATATGACATTCAATCTAATCCGATATAAAATCCTTTCACTAGCCATACTGTCACTATACTCAAGATGGCATCATTGTTGTATTTCATTCTCAAAGCCTTTTGGGAATTACGTTTATTTTTCTCTGGCCTGCAGTATTAAGCCCT